CGGGTTTTAAGCCCTTAAAGGTCAAAGGTCATTCTTTGAATATAACAATATATCGTTCTAGAGAAAGAAAAAAATACGCCATTTGACCTTTGTGAAGAGAAGGTCACGTAAAAATTTATCAGATAGGAAAAGGGAAAAAAGACATACCGCAAGTTTCTGTTCGTGTTTTTGTCGGATTAATGTTTGTGTTTTGTGTCAGATGGTTAATGTGTTTGGATTTCGTATATAGTTATGTGCGCGAGTGCAATAATGACAAGAATTACCAATAACATTTATAAGAGTATTGATGATAGTGTTTGGAATGATAAAAGTAATGATAATAAGAAAGGTAGCAATAGTAGTAGTAGTAACGGTAATAATGATAGTGCTTGGAATGATAATGGTAATGATAATAATAAAAGTAGATGTAGTAGTTCTAGGAACAGTTGTATTAAGAATAACACTGACAAAAATATGTGAAAGAATATGTGTTTGTGTGTGATTATGTATTCAAAGGAGGAGCTAAAAGTTCCATATAAGATACTAGAAAGGAGATTCATATGCGGAGAATTCAGAGTGGCTTGAGATATGCCAGACACTACATTTTCTTTTTCTTCTTTGAACTCCCTTCCTCCCTACCCTTCCCCATTCCCCACCTCTCCCTATCTATCTGTCAATTTCTATTTCTATCTTTTCCTTTCTCTTCACCCTCTCTCTCTATCTATCTATCTATTTATCTGTCTGTCTATCTTTCTCTTTCTCTTTCTCTTTCTCTCTCCCTCTCTTTATCTCTCTCTATCTCTATATATCTATCTATCTATCTATCTATCTATCTATCTATCTATCCATCTATCTCTTTCTCTCTCTCTCTCTTTCTCGTTTACCATGAGTCCGAAACAACATCTCTGTGGCTTTTTCTGTCAGCCTTACGATTTAAAATGTTTTTTTACTATTAAAAATCGATGTTGGAGCGAAGGAGAATCAGAGAAGAGAGTGAAGGGTAGCCAACAAGGGAGAGGGAGAGAAACAGGTAGATAGATAGATTCATACAAAAAGAAAAAGGGAGAGAGAAGGGGGGTGAAAAGAGAGAAAGAAAGAGAGAGAGTGGGGAATAGGAGAGAGAGAGCGAAAGAGAGATAGAGAGAGAGAAAGAGGAAGAGAGAGAGAGAAAAATAGATAGATGGAAAGAGAGAGAGGAAAAAAGAAAACCAATTTAGGGATATTGGAAACAAATAAACACAGTAGCAGAGGACAAGCCAGTAACACTTTCCCTAAATTTGGACCCATTCTAGCCAGTACCCGTTTTTTCTTCTTTTCTTTTTACAGTTAATGGAGTCCGCTGTGAGGATTGCTTATTTGGAAGTTTTTTCGCTCTTCTTTTTTATTTTTTTCTCTCTCTTTTATGCTTTTAATTAAACGAGACCTTAAAATAGCTTAAGGCGGATTTGAAAAATAACGCAAAGCATTTCTCTAAGTTGGATGTAAGATTTCGATGTCATTTTTTTCAAATTTGTTTTCGGGAAAAGGGTATTCTCTATTGTCTATGAATGTGTGTGCTAATGACTTTCACACTTTTCTTCAAAATTGGTGCAACAGCAATCAAATTGTATGCCAGGAATAAAACCCTTTTTTGTATTGGGAGGTATACGAGTCTGTGTGTGTGGTTGTGTGTGTGTGTGTGTGTGTGTGTGTGTGTGTGTGTGTGTGTGTGTGTTGTGTGTGTGTGTGTGTGTGTGTGTGTGTGTGTGTGTGGTGTGTGTGTGTGTGCGCGCGCGCGCGTGTTTTGTGTGTTTATGCGTACGTGTTTGTGTGTCTGGCTGTGTTAGAGTGCGTGTATGTATGCTCTTTCTCGTTAATACCCAACAATTTATTCAATTTCATTCCAGGACTGTACCTTCCTCTATTCATTTCATCCCATGCACCATCCCCCACAAAGCAACATCCACACACACGATGCCACGCACAAAAGAAAAGAACCAACGACACACACAGAATCCCAAAGAGAGACACGTCATTCCCTCGGAGGGAGAGGGAGTTGGCTAAATAAACCGATACTCCGGACGGGGAAGATAAATTGCAGGTTACGGCTCGTCTAAGCTCGGACTAAAACTCAGCGCGTTGTGTAGGCGTCTGTGTGGGTATGCGTGCGTGTATGTGCTTAAGTATATATCAATACGTAAATACACATACACACACACACAAGATATATATATACATATACATATATATAAGTGTATATATATATATATATATATTATATATATAATATATATATATATATATATATATATATATATATATATATATATATATATATATATATATATATATATATATATATATATATGTATATATATATATATATATATATATATATAATATATATATATGTATGTATGTATGTATGCATGTATATATGCGTGTGTGTGTGTGTGTGTGTTTGTGTGTGTATGTGTCTTTTCTGTGCTTATATATATATATATATATATATATATATATATATATATATATATATATATAT